AATATGACCACCAAAATCAAACTCTTAATTTTCCACCCAGAATTATTCTTACTTGAGTCTTTTCCTTCTCAGTTAATGGCAACTTTATTCTTGCAATACTCTGGGAAAACCGTGGTATCATCCTTGACTTCTTTCTTTCTCTCACAGAGTCCACATCTGATCTATCAGGTTCAGCTAAAAAGATGTCCACCACAGCATTGTTTATAACACTAAAACTTGGAAATGATCTAACTGTTTAACAGTGGCAGACTGGTTAAATCATAGTACATGTAGCCGTTAAAAATATGTTATAGAAGGCACACGAAAAGGTGTTCGACATCATTAATTATTAGGGAAATGCAAATCAAAATCACCATGAGATAGCATCTCACACCTCTTAGATGGGTGTCATAAAAATACAAGAAATAACTAATATTTGAGAAGATGCAGAGAAAAGGGAACCATCATATACTGTTGGTGGGAGTGTAAATTGGTATAGCCAATATGGAAAATAGTATGGAAATTGCTCAAAAAATTAAGAATAGAAGTGATATGTGATCCAGTTGAGGAGGCTAAAAGGCTAATTCCAATGTAACCCTGATATTTGGGGGCGGGGGGCTAGCAATCTGAATCTGTGCCAGCAAGCCCAGTGTACATTCTTGATAACCTATAATTAAGTCACTACCTCTTTCCCAGAAACTGGTCTTGCAGAACCTGTTATCTAAATACAGAGGCCATAAAACTGTGAACAGTGCACTGCCCGAAGGGGGCGTTATTAATGCTGGCACCAGGCCAGACCATCAGATATGGCCTGGAGACCCCCAACACCTGGGGGCCTTCTTGCAAAGCCCACAAAAAGGACCAGAAGCATAATCCATATTTGTGGGACAAAGACACCAGAAAGATATAAAAGAGAAGCTCCCTGCACGTTATTTTACTCAGATTTGGGAAGTTATTCTGCTGAGTCTGCCGGGGTAAATAAACAGTGTAACTCCTTTTCTCTAAAGCATCGCTTGGTTTTTCTCTGGTCTTCTGCAACACAGTAATTCCACTTCTGGGTATTTATCTGAAGAATATGAAAACACTAATTTAAAAAGATACATACACCTCTATGTCCATTGCAGCATTATTTATAATAGCTAAGATATGGAAACAACCTAAATGTCCATCAACAGATGAATGGATAAAGAAGATACAGTACATATACAAGATGGAATACTACTTAGCAATAACAAGATAAAATCTTGATATCTGTGACAATATGGATGAACCTTGAGAGTATTATGCCAAGCAAAATAAGTCAGACAGAGAAAGACAAATGTTGTATGATTAAAAAAAAAATCCCACGTGAACAAACAAAACAAAAAGAAACTCACAGAGGCAGACAACGGATTGGTGGTTACCAGAGGGGAAGGGGGTGTAGGAGGGCAAAATGGGTAAAGAGGGGCAATTGCATGGTAATGGATGGAAACTAGACTTTTGGTGGTGAGCATGATGTAGCATATACAGATGTCAAATTATAACATTGTACACCTGAAACTTATGCAATAATAATTATAAACTCTAGTTTCATTTATTCCCTGAGTTGTCTCCCATCTCCCCACTGGATTGTTTTTAAGCAAATTCTAGACATCATATTATTTAATATGTAAATTATATAATAACATTGTTATTAAACATTATAAAGAAATATGTATAATATCTCATTTTGTAAACAATATTTATGCATAGACAAAAGTCTGAGAGGGTAGCTATCTCTGAATCATTCTATCTGAATGACTATTGATGTCTTCTTTTGCTTGTATATATTTTCCACAACGAACATGTATTACATGGAGAACAGATGATGGGGTAGGTGGGGTGGAGGAAGATACCGATGTCAGAAATTCTAGCTTTATTCCTTCCTAAACTTGATGACTTTAATTCAGGCTGGTACTTCACATTGTGAAGCAGAAATAACTACATTGTGAGGTGAGGATCCTTGACTGTCAGCCTGTTTTCTCTCTGGACAGTCTGTAATTAAAAGACATCTATGTTATGCGACATCAGGGTTTCTCAACTTCAGCAACATGGGCATTTGGGGCTGGATAATTTTTTGTGTGGAAAACTATTCCTTGCATTGGAGGATTTTGGCAGCAGCCCTCTTCTGTATCACTTAGATGTCAGCAGCATCCTCCCCGCACCATCTCCTGTTGTAACAACCAGAAATGTCTCCAGAAATTGGCCAAATGTTCCTGAGAGGCAAAATTAACCCAGTTTGAGAACCACTGCACTGCAGCATGTGTGCAAATTGGAAATGTATGAGGTCTAGGAGATTAGCGGTAAAAAATGTTCTGTTTTACTCATTTTGTTGGCTCAAACCTCAAGGAGGATGTAATTTGTGATCTAATGAAAGCTGCTTTTGTGGTTTACTGACCTGCATGCATGTTGAATTAACCAATGTAAGACTCAGTGGTTAATGATTATCTGCATTTTTGAAACATATCCAGAAACAACCAAGACAAGTTCAACTCTATGAGAAAAGCAAAGGTCGTGAATGAAAGATTGCTTTTCAGCTATGACAGTGATTAGATTTGCCTCCCATTTCACTTATCAACTGACTATTCATTATCATCCATGACACAGGGAAATATTGTGTGGAAGTTAAAAATGGGAGATTTCTTCCTAGAAAGTTAATGGTGCTATATACATATAAACAGTTCCTATTAATTAGTAATAAACACATGGAGACATAAACACATGCACTTGCTTGAATTCTTCAAAACAGTTGCAAAAGATAAGAAAAGGGGCATTTCAATATTGCACTTTATTTAAATTTTATAATGGAAACATTATTAGAGAACCAGAGACATGAGATAAGGGAAAATATGAGGTCATTTTCCCCATTCTCTTCAAGAGCTACACTGTTCTGTGTGTCTCCCCTCTCCACCCCCCAGTCCAGTCTTATTAAATATTCCCATTTTAATAATATAGGATACTCCTCATTTTCCCCCTCTGAAGAGTAATTCAACAGATGAGCAGAGGGCATAAATTAGTGATATCATAATCTTCAAAAGATTACATCTTTAGTTAGTGACATTGTGTTGGTCGCATGAAAAATACAACTTCTATCTAGGTTTATCAAGCACAATATAAATCGTGTCTTAAATGGCATTACACAATTACACAACTAATAGAGTGCACTTGTGGGATCTTGAAGCTTCGAGGCTGTTTCTTGCATTGTTGGGTACTCCTAATTCCAGGAGTACAAATCTCTGTATACTTTCTTATATTTACCTGCGTTGGAATCAATGCTTACATTTTGCTTTTCATGATAATAAACATCCAGGCTTTTCTTTAATGATAAATAATAAAAATAATTGCTATTAATTGAGTATCGTCTGTGGACTAAACATGTAATATTTTATTCAATCTTTGTAACCTTACCAGATATATAGGTCTATTTGTCCATGAAAAAACCGAGGCTCAGAAAGATTAAGTACTTTGTCCAAAGTCTCACAGCTTTTGAAAGGCAGAATCTTGATTCAACACACAGTTCATATCTGACATCTCAGCTCACGTTGTTTATGTGAAGTTCTCCCTTAGAGTTTGTATCAGGAAAAATGCATTTGCTTGGATTCTTTAAAACAGAGCCATCTGCAATAGCTGGAGGGCCGCACCTAAGAAAAAACAGAAGTCAGTCCCAATGAACCAGTCGGGAGCCTGAGGGCCTGGTGTGCCCAGGGAATGAACTAGATTGCGTTGGGTTCTGTTACATGTAAAGAAAGAGCCCAAGTGCGTTTACAGTAACAAAGAATAAACTGAGTCTTTCTTAAGCCAGGGGGATTTTAGAGAGGAGGGCCCCAATGGAAAATTCCTGAAATTCAAGTGGGGTGTAGCAGAGCGGGCTCCATGTCTCTGTTGTCCCTTCTGTAGGCTCCTAAGGGGCGAGGATAGGTCAGCAGGGGTTTAGTCTACAGACAAACATGAAAAATGCGAGCGTAAAGTATGAAAAAAAAATGTGCCCACAGCTAAAGAAAACAAACCCAAATCCAAACCTAAACCTAAAACCCAAACCACAAAAGGGTTGTGGGGAAGAATTTTACCAATATTTGCAAATGGAACAGCCAACACTGGCCTTCAGGCTGTGAGCCTTTCGTCTGATTAATTAAGGTCAAGGTGGTGGTGAAAATGCCAGCTGGGGAGCATTTTGCTGAAAGATAAATTTGTCCCTCTGTATCTGTGCAAGACAGCAGGGAGGTGTGCGTGTGGAGCTAAATTAATTTGATTTACATCATGCCAGTATCTTCTGTTCTCTCTCCCTGCTGTCAGTTATCTTGTGTTTTTCCCCCCCTCTCCTCCTTCACCCCCACACACTTCATAACACGGAGAGAAAGCAGGGATTAGCTTCAGGCAGAATTTAGAAATGGAATAACTCTAATTTGATTATTCTGCACTGAGCGAGTGCTGTTCTCTCCTCCTCCTCCCTCTTCTTTCTGGAGGGAGAGAATTTGTAAACCTGAGCATAAGTGCGATGCATTTTTACATTGTGCTCAATGGCACGAGCTGCTTGACAATCAGAACTTGCTCCTTATAGCAAAACCTGGCAGCTCACCTGTCCTGCTGTGTGTCTGCACCAACCCTAATACTAGAAAATGAAGTTGCGGCCCAGGATCCCTCCAGTTAGGAATGCGCTTTTTCTGGCCACAGCTTTCAGCTCCGCCAGGCCCCGGAGGCCGGGCCGGAGTGAGCCTCCTCCGACACCCCCGAGGTGAGGCTGGGCTCCGGGTCTTGCCCAGCCGAGCCGCCTGCACCCCGGGACCCCGCCTGGCCCTCCACGCCTCGCCCTTCCAGCGGCCGGCGCGCTCGGCTGGGATGGATAAGGTTACGCCGAGGCTTCCTTGGACGGGAGGGAGGGAGGCGGGTCCGAGCCCGCGCCCTGGCCGGCGGGGGTGTTCCCACAGCTGGCAGCTCGGGACCGCGGGGCCACATCCCTGCTGCGGGCGGGCGCCGCCGAACGCAGCCCCGAGGCCGGCCCGGCCATGGCGAGGGACAGGCCGCCCGGGAGGGGCTGCAGCCCCCTGAGCCGCTGCCTGCTGGGCGCCGCGCTGCTGCTGGGCCTGCGGCTCTGCGCGGAGCTTGCGGCGCGCCGGGTCCCCGGGGCCCCCGGCCCGCAGCTCCCCGCCCCGGCCGCCCCCGCCGCACTTTGTTGCCCGGGCTCCGTCCCGAGCGCGGGGCAGAAGGTGCCAGGTTGATCTACCGTTCGCCGGCGGCTCTCGGCCCCCCCCCAGGAGGCGCATGGAGGATAAAATTGAAAAAGGTTTCCTTTTCCCCCTGCAGTATTTTTCCCGTCATGAAATTAAATGTAAAAAAATGGAAGACGGGGGGCCCTTGA